GATCAAAGATCCCCTTGTTCTTTTCCTCTTTAATTTCTAGTGGAGGTGGCCAGGTTAATCTAATTTCCCCTTCTCCTCATCATTTTAAACTAAATTTTAATTTCAAAATTTAACTTGAAAGGATAATCAGAACCTGGGAAAATACTATGGGGAAAGTGTTTGATCAAGTCCCTATAAATGCCATTTTATGTGTGCTAAATTTTGCCTGGACATTAAAAAAGCAGATATTTCTGCCCAGTCCTACCTTTTGACTGTATGCCCTGTTCAAAATAGTTGTGTGTATGTGTGGAACAGACATATTTGGCAACATGTGCATAACACAGCATCTGGCTATATTAAATGTCCCTGCTGTTTATAAGTGTGTTCCTTTAAACTAGCCAGGAAGCTCTTAATCTGTTCCCTATTGCTAATTTTTGAGAACACTATCATTTGACAATTTTAATAATGGTATCATTAATACTTTTCTCCAAAGTAATAACAAGTTGAAGGGCACAAAAAAACTGCTTAACATAAATCAGACTTTTGTATTCAGGTTTGTTTACTATTAGCAGTCAGCCAAACTGTGTTCACTCATAACTTGCATTTACATAGTGGCTTTAGTATAGTACGCTGACAGAAGCGTTATCAAATAAAATTCAACTCCGAGGCAAAGAAGACAATATGAAGTCAGGTGACAAAGCTGATAGGTTATAAACAAATCCTTACAAAAAGAAAGGGATATTAAGGAAAAGAGATTTAGAAAGTTAATTACAAAAGCTTTGAACCTAGGTAGCCCACAGTGTGATTACAATTGGGCATGCACAAGAAGCCAGCATTAAAATAGCGATTTCAGAGGCGGGCAGGGGATTACAGAGATAGGGAGGTAGGAATCACACAGAAATCTAGTCTGAGGACAAGAATTTTAAAATTCAGGTGCTGAAGGGCAACATATCAATGCAGCTAACTGAGCACAAGGTGGAGTGATTGATTGAATTCTGTTAACCCAAATGCATTAGTGGATATGGTGTAAATGTGGCTAAATGGATTTATGCTACAGATCAGCCACAATCTCACTGAATGGTGAACAGGTCAGAGGAGTAAAGTGGCCTATCTTTGTTCTGTGTTACTATGGATGAATGCGACTTTGTTGCCTGTGTCTTAAATTGCACTGATGAGGTCCAGTTTAGTGCCAATCATATCTGATCTGTTGTGTGGCCAATACTGCAGTGGTGGATACACATCAAAAATAACACATTGGGGCATTCCAAAGTGCTTCACATCCAACGTGATGAAAGGTGCCACTGAAAGGCAAACTTGTTCTTTCTTCAGCAAATGCAGCTGACATATTTGAAGGAGGATCTAGGCTTCAGAATAGATTACAAGGAAACATTGTGAGAAATGAATGATTGACATTACAGAAGATGCAACCACTGCAGTTATACACAGAACTATAAGCCCAGTCAAAAGCACCAGGAAGAGAGAGAATGGCAAACAAAATTGCTGACATCATTGATAGGAACATGGCCCTAAGTTAATTGTGCACTCGATAAAGTTATTTTGTTTTTCTGGTTATAAATGTTATTTTTAGACCAGACTCTTCCTGAGCAGACTCTGCACCCTGTAATTACAGCTGATGCTATTCCCTCTGGATTGTAATAAAAATGAATTCATGGAGCTTTTCCACATCTTTCAGCTATAAGCTGTGGTTTCACATGTCTGACCCAGATTTCATCGTATTGTATTGTGTAGAAACTTGAAGAAAACTTTAAAAGAGAAAGGAAACTGATCATTTAACTCTGATACATCACAGGTTTCATTGAACTACTGCCAAGGCAGATCCAGTTTATGATTAACTGCGACAGGAGGTAGCTAATTTCAGCTGGTGAAGTCATAGACTTGTTAGATTTCCTTAGTCCTCTTACCTAGGCAGAATTTGGTGAGGGATGAAGCAGCAAAGAATAGCATGCTTTCTATTTCTTTCTCACCTGGAGTACATTTGTGGTAAACTTTGCACCTAAAACAGTAGTTTTCAAACTAGCTTGTGTGTGTGGCAACTGCCTGCAAAGACTGGCACACTGCGAGGGATCCACTATACTCACCCTGAAAGAGTGCCAGTCAACCAATAGGAAACCATACCATCAAAACAGAATACATTACTGAACGGAAACACAGTAAGAGCTGGAGGTGCTGTGCTTGTAGACTGTGGCCTACTTAATCCCAGACAGACAAAAATCTGTTCTGAAGAAGAGTTATATGACTCGAAATGTTAACTCTGTTTCTCTTTCCACAGATGCTGCCAGATCTACTGAGTTTCTCTATTACTTTCTGTTTTTATATTAGAAAGAAATCTGATCACTTTTCAAATATTTCAGAATTTCTTCTGGGACATCATAGTTATGCTTCTCTGTTCTGGATCTCAAAAAGTCATCACGTGTTTTTGAAGAATTTTACAAGTATCTTCTTTATCTTACCTTTTCATGAGAAAGGAGAATCCCAGCCTACTCAACCTCTCCTGAATAGTTTGATCCTCTCAATATTGGGAAAATGCATGTAAATCTTTCCTGCACTAACTTCAGTTCTTTAACATGCTTTTGGTAGGTGGAGTCTCGCAAGTCACACAACACTCCGAATGTGATCTAAACAAGTTTCAGATACATTTAAATATTACTTTCCTTTTGTAATCCATGCCTGGGATGAGAAGGCTCTCATATGAGGAACAATAAAGCAGAATGGGCAATCATCCTCTGGCATTTAAAAGAACGAGCCTTCATGTAAATACACAGAACTATCTGAGGGAATAGCAGCGTGGACGCTTATTCTCCTAGACGGGCTGTAGAGAACAACTGGTCATTGACCCAAATCTTTGCCTTAAGCTTCTTCAGATCCAAAGAAGATAAATTTCTTCAAAGTATTGTGAGTCTTTGGAATTCTCTAGTGTGGCTATGGATGCTCAGTCAGAGTTTAATCAGGACATACCAAGAAAGATTTTTAGACACTAAGGGAATCAAGAAGTTATAGAAATGGATGCGAATCAATACAAAAGCTGAGCCATGATCTTACTGAATGGGAGTGCAGACTCGAAGGACTGTATGGTCTACTCCTGCTACTATTTCTTATGTTCTTTTCCCGCTAGGGAAAAAAATCCCAGGCACCTTAAACAATAGAAATTTCATTTAAATGTATATTTAGCTGATCTTAGCAGGAATGTTTAGAAACAAAGAAACTCAGTTTGGACTGAATGCCACTAAAGCTCCAATCTAAAGTTTTCGAAAAGCTCCAATCTCTTAAAACACCACACTAATAACTAGTAAGTTAGACTACATTTACTCTTGTAGCATTCACGCTGTCCCTAGCAAATAAACATTTTACAGAGACTGTTAACAGCTATAACAGTCTCCAATGAACAAAACAAAAATTCATTTTAGTAATTATAAAGGCTGAGGTGTAAAATAAAATGTTCAAAATTAACATCCTACAAATGTAAACATTTTGACAAAACAATACTTTCTGTCTTCATTGTAATACAGTGCTGAAGATCCAAGGATGTTGTGGTGCATATTATAGGGCACAACTGAACCTAATGATTAAAAAAGTACAAATTATAGCTGGAGAAACAGGGTTACAGCAATGTTCTGATAAACGTATTTGCATGTTGGTTGTTATAAATCCATAAACATGTCTGAAGACACATTTGCAGATTGCTACAATATTGCAAAGGATCAGATATTAAAAGGAGAGGGCAAATAATAGTAAGGTACAGCAAATAACACAACGAGAGGTCAGAAATGCATGATTTGTATCAATATTGCTAACACATCTGACTACACAAACGCATTATATTTTTCACTGTTGTTCTGTATAAAGAATAAAACAGAACCCAATTTTAACACATGGACGAGCAGTCGTTTCTGTTTTCCAATTGCTGAAAGAAAGACACATTTTGACTTGCACCCATCAGGACATTTCTCAAGAATACAAATTCAAGGGGCAAAACCAATATTTATACTGCATGAAAGAGGGTGCTGACTGGTTAGCAAGTGACTCTGATTGGTAGAGGAACTGCTGCAGTGTTTGCACCCATTAATGCTGATAATAACCAGGTTTTGCTTAAATCTTCTCTCAGACAAGTTCACTCTGATTTGTCAGAGTTTGCCATGAGAAATGAATAAGTGGAATGGCTGTTACTTTTATTGTTGAACTGAAACAGCTGCTCGCATGTACACGTCCTTTCTGTCCACAAAGTTCAGGATCCTATTAATATATGCAGCTTCCATTCCACTTTATTGAAACCGCATTAAACAAACAACTAGTTTCTTGCACACTGACCTGTCATCCCTAATGATCTTATACGGTTTCAGAAACCATTGTTCTGGACATGGATACAGTTACCAAATACCTCATAAGGACTTTGAGTAGTTGGACAAAATATCCAGTAAACCAGAGAGGTGCCAAAGGTGTTCACACTGTCAATGTGTGTGATGGGAGGCCTATCCCAGGTCTAAAGAGTACCTCATAACTTCCCCTTACCTTTTCGAAACTCTGTGAGTTGCAACAGTCAACTGGCCAGTCACAGGGTCATGCACTGTGGCACGCTTCAGCTACAGGGAGAGAAAGGACAAATTTAATCCTGGAACAGCCAGATCACCACTCCTTAGTGGAATTCTGGAGGCTTCCGATTGGTCAGGATATAGGCAGAATGAAGGAGTAAGGATAGATTTGGGGACAAGTTCCAATTTAATGTCCTTTCATTTTTAAAGCTTGGCTTCCTTTGAGCACACGGTGAAGATGGGCGAGGGTGGAAAATGGATTGTTGCATCTGTTTAAGCTGCTTGCATAGATTAGAACCATCAGTTCTAACCGCATGTTTTGCATTTCATCGACGTGTTGACAAGTCAGCCTGGCTCTTGGTGGTCACTCTTTCCCCAGCTTCACGTCGGTGGATGCCAGTTTCCAAACATGCACAGTTTGAACAAGATGCAGCAGCTTCACTGTGAAGAGGAGCCAGCACAGCTCTCGCTTACCTTTTGCTTATTCTGTAATGAGCTGTCTCCAACACTCCAGTTATTGGGTTAGAAATGGTGGCTCGTCTCAGCTGTGAAGCCAACCAATCAGAAAAAACAAAGATTATTACCACTTGACTGGACGCAGAGTGGGACCAATCAGAATTCTTCCAGTGATAAAGAATGCCCATTACACTGGAAGGATCATCCTTAGGTCATTTCTTCACAATCTCGGAGTACAACAGGATCTTGATCAGATGGGCTATGAGCCACAGAGTGGCAAATGGAGTCTAATTTGGATGAATGTGAGGTGTTGTGTTTTGGTAAGACAAATCAGGGCACAATGAATACACTTAATTGTAGGGCCCTGGGGAGTGTTGCCGCACAGAGAGATCTTGGGATGCGAGATCATAGCTCCTTGGAAGTGGAGTCACAGGTAGACAGAACAGAGGAGGAGGAGTTTGGTACGCTTGCCTTTATTGGTCAGTGCATTCAGTACAGGAGTTGGGGAGGTCATGTTGCGGCTGTTCAGGACATTGGTTTGGCCACTTTTGGAATACTGTGTTCAATTCTGATCTCCCTGCTATGGGAAAGATGCGATTAAACTTGAAAAGTTCCAGGAAAGATTTACAAAGATGTTGCCAGGATTGAAGGATTTAAGCTACGAGGAGAGCCTGCATAGGCTGGGGTTATTTTCCCTAAAGCATCAGAGGTTGAGGGGTGACCGTATACAGGTTTATAAAATCATGAGGGGCATAGGTAGGGTGAATAGACAAAGTCATTTTTTTCAGGGCAGGGGAGTTCAAAACTAGAGGGCATAAATTTAAGGTGAGAGGGGAAAGATTTAAAAGGGACCTAAGGGACAACTTATTCATGCAGAGGGTGGTGCATGGATGGAATTAGCTGCCAGAGGAAATGGTGGAGGTGGGTAAAATTACAATATTTAAAAGGCATCTGGATGGGTACATGAATAGGGAGCGGTTAGAGGGCTTTGTGCCAAATGCTGGCGAATGGGACTTGATAAATTTAGGATAGCTGGTTGGCATGGACGAGTTGCACCGAAAGGTCTGTTTCCATGCTGTGCAGCTCTATGACTCTGCGTTATGTATACACAATGAGTGGCAGCAGTAACAATCATACCTTTGTAAAACTGTAAGTTCTTGGAAAGCCCATTTGGAGCCTGTTTCACTGACAATTACAATGCTTGTGCTCCTCAGAAAATATGAGCAGGGATTGGCTATGATTTAGTCAATTCAAATAAGCATGGGCCAATTGATTTTTTTAAATGAGCTCATGGAGATTTTGTCCATGCCTAATTGCCCTTGAAAAAGTGGTGATGAGTTGGCTTCTCGAATTGCGATAGTCCATATGATGTAATTTATTATGGTAATTAATTACAAAAGTAAGTATGATTTTATAGTTGGTCAGTAAATTAATAAATACTAATATAGATCAAATATATTTTGCGAACATATTTCAATATCTTTTGATAATTAAAACAAGTTCAAGAAATTTCCCTGCCTCTTGGCTCAAACGTTCAAGAAGATAGTCTAAATTCAATCACTGATGTTCACTGATTGACAGTCAGTAAAACCCACTTTAAAAAATTAATGGGCAGGGTGTAGGCACTGACTATGCCTTCTTGAAGCCAAATGAGTGGCTTGTTAGGCAATTAAGAATCACTTGGGTCTGGAGTCACACATGGTTTAGGACAGCAAACTTCATTCCTTGAAGAACATGAGCAGAGCAGATGGGTTTTTACGAATAATTCATGTTGTTTCACAGTTATCATTACTTATACCAGCCTTTTATTCAACATTTAACTAGCTGAATTTAAAATCCCCAGATGCCATGATTTGATTTGAACTCATGTATTCAGATCACTAATCCAGACATGGATTATCAGAGCAGTAATAGAACTGCTACACCCCATACAACTGCAATTCATTCTGCAATAATTACTATAAAATCAAACACCTCATTAAAGAGTAAAGGATGAAGAGCTTCAGTTTTCAAAATGAAGATTGTGTGATTTTGTGATAAGTACATTTTCCTCAGTCAGTATCCTGACTGAAAGTGGTGTACAGATACTGACAGAGTTCAGAAACATGCATTCCACTGCTGACTTGTACAGATCCTGCAGTCCTCCAGATTGGGGTTCCTGAGCCAACACTAGGTGATGCTTAATACAGAGGAGGCCCCATGGCACAAACTATCATCTTACAATAAGGAGGGCTTACAGAATGCTCCCCCATCTTGGGTTTGCCTGAACAACATGCATCACTGTCCAAGGCATGCAGGTCAATAGTCTGCATCATGTTTTGAACCAATGACACTCTTAGACTATGCACCCATAAGGTCAGTTCACAACAGCCTTAACATTATCTTTCAGAAGTGGAAAGGCTCAATTTGATCTGCATGTGGCAAGCATACAAAAGATATATGACCTTCCAAAAGGGTTTGAAAAATACCATGCAATAGGTTACATTGAACAACAGCTTCTAAATGCCACTCTGCAACATATAGATAGTGAGCAAACACACAAAAGACATCTCAGAATGACATGACATCTTACCCGTGGCTTTGCCAGTTCTTTCACTCGCTCAATTTCCTCATTAGAAATTATATCAATGTAACGAATAATTCGCGGTTTGTCCCATTCATCTTGCTGCTTCACAGGTTTCAGAATGTACACAGGATTTCTGTTTGCATCTGAATAACGGCAAAAGAGCCTTTTCTGTCTTCGAGGAGTCTGCACAGAAATAGAAATGAAGACAGGCATTTACATAGTGCCATATAACATTTATTGAAAGATTTCAAAGTGCTTGACATCTTGATTTAAATTTGCAGTACAAAGGCCATTATGTAGAGAAATGCAGAAGCATTTTGTTTCCATAGCCAGTTGCAGTAAATAGACACCAGATGAAGAACCAGTTCATGCAAGTTTTACATCAAATTCAAAACTTTCCGGATACCATTTCATTGTTTCATTATCCAACTGAGGAGAACCAATGCCATACATACTGTTGATATAACTAGACAAACTCTCTGGATAAATAAACAGCAAAGCCAATAATTCACACAGTTAGTGTTACGGTAGTGAAAGCCTGGTGCCACTGACTCAGTCCAAACCCTGCAGTGAAGCTCAACATTTTTCATCAGTTTTGTTACCCCAATTTGCTCTTCTATCCCCCCCATTGTAAACGGTGGTCTACTTTGCCCAGAAATCTGCAGATATTTTGGCCAAACAACCATTCTTCAACTGTCTAATCCGCAAGCCAAGAGCCTGTTCAATTGTAGGCAGTAACACAGCTGAGCCCAATCTGGCTATCAATATACACAAAAAAAATACACACGCATCATTGAACATCAAATCAGTAATGAGATGCGTGGTCAATTCTCTTGGCTTATAACTTGTCAAGTGACAAGTGTTGAAAGTTTTTCAGTATACGTGATTTGCATTTAAAAGTTTCATTTATATAGCATCTTTATGTCTCTTGTGGCACAGTGGTAATGTCCCTCCCTCTCGGCCAGTAGGCCTGGGTTCAAGTCCCACTTGCTCCAAGAGGTGTGCAATAACATACTTGAACAGGTAAATTAGAAAAATCAAATCTAAAATCTCTGGGGCACAGTGGTCTGGTTCAAGTTGCATTTGCTCCAAGGGTGTGTCATAATGCATTTGAATAGGGTGATGAAAAATATCCATAGAGCATCTCACATTGCTTCAGGGTGCCTCACAAATTTAAGTGCTTTACAGCCAATGAGGTATTTGTGAAATCTTCACTGTTTTAATGCAGGAAACACTGCAATTTGTACAAAGCTTAGAAAGAACAGGGGAAGAAATAACCAGATCATTCAGTAGTGTTGGTTGAGGGATAAAAATTAGCCAAGACATCAGTGCTGTGAGAGCATTCGTTCTCAACTTGGGGTGTGTCGATGTGACTTCAGTTTTAATGTGTCATCTGAAATTGTGTGCTCAAGTCTTTGGGATGGAGCTTGAACATATGACCCTCTGGACTCAGATGAGACGGCCATTGCTAAGCCACAAGTTAAAAAGGTGTCTTTACTCCTTTATCCATTTGATTTCCTCAGTGGTGAAAATCAAAAGAAGAATCTGTCACCTTCTCATTTATTCATCTTGTGCACATCACATACTGCAGTGATATGGGAGCAAAACACAGGTACTTATGTAGCAAATCCTCATCATTCAGGAATCCATTTTATTCAAATAATTCACCTACCAGTTTGATGCCTTCACCTCGGCACAGCATTTCATATTTCTGTCTCTCTGGTAGGTAATCTTTGATACGCTCTCTCTTAGTCTGTGAAACATGTCCTGATTTATTTCCTTCTGTCTTCTGAGCTATGTTTGACTTTTCCTTTTTCTGGTCAGCCATCATATATTCAAAATACTTCAGATTTCCATTTGCTCGCTGGTGCTCAGGATCTACAACAGAGGTCAGTATAAGGTCTTTCACAAAATTCTTACCTTCTAACCACACTTCAAATTAAATGCAACTTGGAATAATGAATGATCCAGTCTCTAAGTTCCACCGTCTTGGTATTTTTCAATATTCCCTCGCCCGAGCAGTAATAGCACTGAAATTTAAAAACTGTTGGACACAGCCTGCCCTTTGGATCAACAAAATACACATTAGCTGTCTCATGCAGTCGCCACTTTAAAAAATAGATGAGTCATCTAGGTAGATTGCTTAGTATGTGCGAGATGCTTTTTTGTAGCTGTACACTGGTGCTTAGGGGAGGCGATGGCCTGGATGTATTATTGCTGGACTGATAATCCAGAGGCCCTGGTAATGTTATGGGGATTAAGGTTCGAATCACAGCAGATCATGGAATTTGAATTCAATAAAAATCTAGATAACCACAAAACCATTGTCAGAAAAATCTATCTGATTCACTAACGCCCATTAGGGAAGGAAACTGCCAACACCTGCCCACACACCTCCTCCATCCAGGCCCCTAAACAGTCCTTCCGGGTGAGACAGAGCTTCATCTGCATCTCCTCCAACCTAGTCCAGTGCATCCTCTGCTCCTGATGTGTCTTCTCTACATCGAAGAGGCCAAACAATGGTTTCGCTGAGCATCTTCGCCTGGCCCGTAACAGCACAGTCACTGCACGTTTCAACTCCACTCCACTGTCCTCCCTCCCCCATGATACGTCTGTCCTCTGTCTCCTCTAGTGTCGCAGCAATTCTGAACGCAAATTTGAAGAACAACACCTTATCTTCCACCTGGGTATCCTACAGCTGGGAGGACTCAATATTGAGTTCTCTAATTTCAAATAATCTTCCCACCTCCCCCACTTCCATTCCACCTTCTCACCCTCCCTTCCAGCTACCAACTGGATTCATCCCTCCCATCAACTAACCAGGATGTACTCACTACTGGTGTCCACCTATCACCACCATTCCGCTACCTCTCTGCCCCCCTCTCTTTATCTGCAGCTTCCCGCTACCCCCACATCCAGTCCTGAAGAAGGGTAATACCCGAAACGTTGACTGCTCCTTTCCTTCAGACGCTGCCTAGCTTGCTGTGTTCTTCCAGCCTCCTGTCTGTCTACCTTACTTTGTCTGGTCTACATGTGACTCCAGACCCACAGCAATGTCTTAACTGCCCTCTGGGCAATTAGGGATGGGCAATAAATGCTGGCCCAGTTAGCAAAGCCCTCAACCTGTGAATGAATTAAAAAAAAATAGACAACACCATTAATTTGTAAGAAAAAAATGATCCATCAAGAAAACAAGTTAGTTAAAGATACTGCAGAAAGTTACATACGCTAATGGACTTCTACTCTTCTCAAAGAGGTTTTCTAAGCTAATATTTAGGTATCTGATCCTATTTGGCTCTTACTTCAACAATTTTAATTCTCGATGAATGAGATGTCTGGATTTTTGTTTGAAATGTACTGGCTACAAGAGCATTATTTACCTGTGAGGTTGAAGAGACTTAGCATAAAGAGTGATAACCTTGATCTTTCTAGCATATTGAATACCCTGGTATACTAGTTTGTTAAATTTTTGAATTAGAATTTAGAATTATGATTAATACTATGACTAATTATGACTAATCAGATATCTGTTGACAATGTAAAAGGTACAAATACGAAACTGACCCTTTTCTCATAAGATATTTTATGCTTATAAATTGCTTCTAAGAGTACAAATACAGCTTTCCCCATATAATAATTGGGATTCACTTTAAATTTCCCTTTGAAATTGGCCTTTGATCCTTTGTGTCTTTACTGAACTGTATCTTTACAATCACTTGCGAAACGAACCTTTCACAAAGCATCCTTACCTAGTGTCAGCAGCCTCTTTGTGAGCTCCAACGCCTTGTCCAGATCACCTTGCTGATATACCGCATAGCTCAGGTAGTCCAGTACGGTGATTTTGTTTATGTTGGAAACCTCGCCCGCATCTAGCTGTTTCAGTGCCTGCTCCATCCACAGCTCTGTGTGGTAGTAATCTGTATCCGTGTAGGCTACTTTGCCCAACTCATAGCAGTCTTCTGCTGTGAGCAATGTTTTATGCTTCACGCCTGAGAGGAAATAGGCAAACAGAATTATGCCTTTGCTGGACTGGGTCAGACATAGAGAACAGCATTTCCAATTCCCCAACTTCATATGTAAAATTTTATCCTTTTGTCTAAACCTATAATTGGCTTCAAACCTCTGATTAGTCACCTCTTGCAAGCTTAAACTCATTCCACTCCAAACACATTCCTATTATAAAATAACATAGTGCAGAGCGGGAGGAACACAGCAGGCCAGGCAGCAGGAAAGTTGAAATTTCTGGAGAAGGGTCCTGACCTGAAACGTCAGCTTTCCTGCTCCTCTGATGCTGCCTGGCCTGCTGTGTTCATCCAGCTCCAGGCTGTGTTATCTCTGACTCCAGCATCTGCAGTTCTTGCTGTCTCTGACTGTTCCTCATGCCAGATTTATTGCAATATCCTTTCCTTTCTCCATCACAGAAAAGCATACCTTCCATCTAAACTCTCAAATTTCTCCCCAAATTCCTCACAAGATGACCTTTAAAATCCAACGCTTAAACAAAACATTTTGTCATACCTTCTGACATTGCCCCATCCACTACCACTTGCAACAGTGACTACTTTCAGTTCTTTGTTGCCAATTCAGAGGATTATGAACCTTAGGAATTGTCAAGTCCAGAGAGTTGTGCAAACCTCAGTGTTGATGAATTTGAGGCTGAGATGGACAAATTTTTTGTCTCTCAGGAAATCAAGGCATTTGCACAGGGAGTCAAAAGAGGAATTAAGGCAGAATCTCAGCCACCGTTGCACTGAATTGCGGAGCAGGTTCCTGGAATTATAGCTTTATTCCTGCTCCTATTCAGAATTAGATTTTATTGTCCTGCATACTCAAGTACAAGGATTCCTGAGTATAGTGAAAAGAGTACAAAGTCACAATTCCCAGTGCCATCTTAGGTACAATGGTACTGAGGTACAAAATCTTAGTATGAAGTAGAAATAAAGCTAAAGTTCAACATTCCAGTCCTTCGTTAGCATCTGGTATATTCATGTTAGTTTGAGCTGTTCCAATGAGGCAGTCCTTTTCGTCATATCCTTCAATAAAACCCACCCTACTCAGTTTTCATTACAGATTTAAATCTATCTAAAAGCCTGCCACACATTTCTACAGTACAGCACTGGACTGGCATCCTAAAAAAGGCACTCAAATCCTATGGTGGGTGTTCAAGTCACAACATTCTGGCTTAGAGATATGAGATTCTGAACATCCACTAGTTTTAGAATCAGAGCAAATAAAAAGCTTTTCCTTCAAAATGTTTCTCTCACATGATTTCCAAGAGATCACTCAAAGAAGATGCTTTAAATCAAACTGTGCTACTAACAGGAGATGAAGTGTCAACTGGAAGAAATTAACGGAAGTAGGGAACAATGCCAAATGAGCCACAGACTTGTCTTACAGTTCATCCTCTTTTTCTCAGAGAAATACCATATTTATGTTGCTACAGCAGCTTCTACTCAGTGGATAATAGGCAAACCCATGTCATTGACTAGTGATCCAGAACCTCTAAGGCTCTGGGGACATGGATTTGAATGCCATCTTGGCAGATTGTCAAATCTGAATTTTATAAAATAAACATCCTAAAAATGGCTTTGCAACCACTGTTGATATTTGTTGAAAACCTATCTGGTTCACTAATGTCCTTTACAGAAAGAAATCTGGCATCCTAACCTGGTCTGGTCTACATGTGACTCCAGATCCACAACAATATGATTGACTCATCAGACCCCTCTGAGCAATTAGGAATGGGCAATAAATGCTGGCCTAGCCAGCAGGCCCCACATCCCATGGGCAAATTTTTAAACAAAATTTACGGCATTTAGAATAGTGATTCTGTGAAAAATATTGAGATGTTTAGATGTAAAAGTTATAACTTGATCCAACTAATATAGTCTGAATTTGAACACTGAATCTTTTGTTCAATTCACACATTTTTGTAACGGTAAAGGTACATGGTGACAAAAATATATACCTTAAAGTAATATTATCATAACTATCATATTTTCTACTTATCACACTTCTGCACAAATGTTAATTTGTCTGTATTTTAATCTGACCTTATTCAGTCACTTCTTCCACCAGAAGGTAAAACCATTTTTAAATTGACTGGCATGCTGCAGCTGCTAACGCGGAACTGACAAATACTCAGATGCTTTCTCCCACAGGTTTTAGCAAACCCAGCAAAGTCACTGCAATTTTGCTGCCATCTGTACATCTGCCAGAGCTGAGAGCCAGGGACATTACTGAAATGTAAGATTGCCTTTTTCTGCATACCTGGCAAGTTGCCTTGAGAGATGGTCTCTGCGTCTAGATTGTACGTGTCCTGGAGACGTATCAGAGCCTTGGCAGCTCCAGTCTGATCTTCATCATTTGGCAAGTGCTGTCTCTGAATGGTGAGATTAGAAATGAACCCTGTGGAAAGACAGGGTAGCAATGCGTCAACACTCAAAAACTAAAGATCAAATTCAAAATATACACCAGGCCAAGTGCTTGCAATATACATTCTGTCCTGATTCAGCAGACGGAAGCAGACCTATTGCCTCACACTTACAAGGAATCAGATGACGTGGCAGGTTAGTTTATTTGTATTACTACCTCGACTGTTCCAATTTATAACAGCTACTTTTCTTCTATTAAAACCTTTCTTTATTTAACTGCTGGGACGCATGCAAAAACACAGAAAATTCACTCATTATCTGTTTCACTTTTGGTTCCATTCATCCTCTTCTAAGGCAGGATTTCACCTTAACACTTCAGTCGGGTTAGTGGATCCCCACAGCACTTTTGTTCATCAGTGCCTTTATGAGACACTGCCCTCTAAATCTGATACGTGTTTTCATACTCAGGCAATTGTTCCTGGCCAGAGAAACCTCCACAAGTGTCATCAGTAATCTGCCTGGTTCAACTTCACTGTGCTGTGGCAGAGAATAGATTCTCCCTCGCCACTTCTGGTTCGATTTCAGATGAGTCAAGACAAGCCAGTTGAATATAGTCAGTTAAAAACTGCAGAAGAGTTAACAAATTGCTGGAAATGAGAGTGGGAATTTGGTTAACATCACCTTAAATCACCACCTTCATCCTTAAACTATAGTTTCCAAACTAGGGTCTGAGAGATTATCAGATTTCTGACTGTTTGGGTGTGAAAATAGATAAGTCCCCTGGGCTGGATGGGATTTATCCTAGGATTCTCTGGGAAGCTAGAGAGGAGATTGCAGAGCCTTTGGCTTTGATCTTTATGTCGTCATTGTCTTCAGGAATAGTGCCAGAAGACTGGAGACTAGCAAATGTTGTCCCCTTGTTCAAGAAGGGGAGTAGAGACAACCCTGGTAATCATAGACCAGTGAGCCTTACTTCGGTTGTGGGTAAAGTGTTGGAAAGGATTATAAGAGATAGGATTTATAATCATCTAGAAAGGAATAATTTGATTAGGGATAGTCAACACGGTTTTGTGAAGGGTAGGTCGTGCCTCACAAACCTTATTGAATTCTTTGAGAAGGTGACCAAACAGGTGGATGAGGGTAAAGCGGTTGATGTGGTGTATATGGATTTCAGTAAAGCGTTTGATAAGGTTCCCCATGGTAGGCTATTGCAGAAAATACAGAGGCATGGGATTGAGGGTGATTTAGCGGTTTGGATCAGAAATTGGCTAGCTGTAAGAAGACAGAGGGTGGTGGTTGATGGGAAATGTTCATCCTGGAGTTCAGTTACTAGTGGTGTACCTCAAGGATCTGTTTTGGGGCCACTGCTGTTTGTCATTTTTATAGATGACCTGGATAAGGGCGTAGAAGGATGGGTTAGTAAATTTGCGGATGACACCAAAGTCGGTGGAGTTGTGGATAGTGTGGAAGGATGTTGCAGGTTACAGAGGGACATAGATAAGCTGCAGAGCTGGGCTGAGAGGTGGCAAATGGAGTTTAATGCGGAAAAGTGTGAGGTGATTCACTTTGGAAGGAGTAACAGGAATACAGAGTACTGGGCTAATGGTAAGATTCTTGGTAGTGTGGATGAGCAGAGAGATCTCGGTGTCCATGTGCATAGATCACTGAAAGTTGCCACCCAGGTTGATAGGGTTGTTAAGAAGGCGAACGGTGTGTTAGGTTTTATTGGTAGAGGGATTGAGTTTCGGAGCCATGAGGTCATGTTGCAGCTGTACAAAACTCTGGTGCGGCCACACTTGGAGTATCGCGTACAGTTCTGGTCACCGCATTATAGGAAGGATGTGGAAGCATTGGAAAGGGTGCAGAGGAGATTTACCAGGATGTTGCCTGGTATGGAGGGAAGGTCTTATGAGGAAAGGCTGAGGGTCTTGAGGCTGTTTTCGTTAGAGAGAAGAAGGTTAAGAGGTGACTTGATAGAGACATACAAGATGATCAGAGGATTAAATAGGGTGGACAGTGGGAGCCTTTTTCCTCGGATGGTGATGGCTAGCACGAGGGGACATAGCTTTAAATTGAGGGGTGATAGATATAGGACAGATGTCAGAGGTAGGTTCTTTACTCAGAGAGTAGTAAGGGCGTGGAATGCCCTGCCTGCAAAAGTAGTAGACTCGCCAACTTTAAGGGCATTTAAATGGTCATTGGATAAACATATGGATGATAATGGAATAGTTTAGGTTAGATGGGCTTCAGATTGGTTTCACAGGTCGGCGCAACATCGAGGGCCGAAGGGCCTGTGCTGCGCTGTAATGTTCTATGTTCTATGTTTGTGTTAAACATGTCATTTATAGTGGCCACTCAGATTTAGGAGCACAAAATTTTATATACCTGTAGATATTTGCTTATCATCATGGTGTTTCGGATGCTGTATGACAAATATATGAGTAGAAGGGTTCCTGCAACCATACCTGAAATTCAATGCATTGTTGTCTTTAGGTGAGGTGTCACTATTTATTAGGTGTCTCAACCACAATTTTGGGAAATCCTGTCCTAAAGTCTTACTCGCTGTTTTGTTCTATGGGGCAGATGGGAGGTAGAATGGAGGTTGTCACCGGAGTGACAGTTTACTATTCTACTAGAATTAGCATGTTGCGTTACCAATGTAAGGTATTAACTTCAGATCAAACTGTCCACAACTTGTACACTCTCTTGTTCCTTCACCATCTCCTTTTAACAAGGTTAAACTGGCATTTTTTTGGCTCAACAGGTTTCATTAATTTAAATCAAATTAAGCACTCTCTGATAGTGATGGGGTTTTCAGTCAACCTTTGCAGGTGGCTTGTTTGCTCGTGCCCATTTCTCAGTCAATGTCACTCAAACCCATTAAGGAGATAAACGTGACACCTCACACACCAGAATGTGGATCACTGAGACATAAACCAGTGTTGAAGGTGCTACAGCAGTAGATAAGTTCAGTTCAAGAAAACCATGCCTGCATTCACAGAAGTTAGAGAGCTTTTGAGGAGGAAAGTTTTTAACACCACCTCAGCTTTGTTCAGCGCCAAAGTAACTCAACGCCTGCCTAACCTAATCACATCTTTTTTAATAACATGCCCATGAAAACGCATTACCGCTTCAATTGTTTGAAAATTGTTTTACCACCGCCTAGACATTTTCAATTGGGAAATCAGAGTTGAATGCTGAGACATGTCTTGTTATTTGCTCATGCCAGGATTGCAACCAGTTTACAATGCAGCTCGCTCCACTGCCCTTTGCTTTATAACCTCCATCTGCCAAATGAAGTTTATTTAAAAGTGTAGTGCAGTAAAACTGTTGGTTACTGCATAGGTTGAGTTCAAATTGCCCCCACCGCATTTAGAGACTCCTAGCTTTTCCAGTGTAAGTATTTTAATATGAAACCCAGCTGTTTTAACTGGAATTTATTTACTGAATAAAGTGCAGATGTGAGATTGATGTGTGGAATCAGTGACACAAAAACAAAGTTGCCAGGTTCCCGAAGGTTAACATAGAACATAGAATATTACAGCGCAGTACATGCCCTTCGGCCCTTGATGTTGCGCCGACCTGTGAAACCAATCTGAAGCCCATCTAACCTAAACTATTCCATTATCATCCATATGCTTATCCAATGACCATTTAAATGCCCTTAAAGTTGGCGAGTCTACTACTTTTGCAGGCAGGGCATTCCACGCCCTTACTACTCTCTGAGTAAAGAACCTACCTCTGACATCTGTCCTATATCTATCACCCCTCAATTTAAAGCTATGTCCCCTCGTGCTAGCCATCACCATCCGAGGAAAAAGGCTCCCACTGTCCACCCTATCTAATCTTATTAGTTTCTAGAATGTGCTCTCCTCTGGAGTCCAGACTAAGAACAAATCAGTTTTGGATGATAATCCTTTAAATGCACTCATTATCAAGTTAGGAAACACTAAACACATCTACTAAAAATAACTACTCAACCACTTTCTTTTTCTATGACACGCACATTCCAAAAGTCATAAACTACGAGTCAAGAATAGGCGGATCATATATATTATGCTCTTCTTACCCAAGCACACACAGAAAAAGAGAGCGAGAGATACTGAGCGAAGGGCAGGTTTGTGGATATTGGGCCGGGAGCATTCATCAGCATGCTGAAGAGAACGCATCATTGATGGTAGGTCAGCAATGAGGGTCTCTTTCCTGCAGGAAACACTGGCAGGCAAAAGGAAGTTCCAAAGTACAAACCAACACATGTGCACACACCCAAAACAATATGCTACTTATTTTTAATCAAAAAAATGTATGGATCAAACATGGAAAAACAAGGTTCCAACAGCAAATGGTATTGGATGCAGCAGTGCTGCAGTCACACTATGAAACTGCAGGTCATAACTGCCTGTGATGTTCCAAGTTACAAATTCCAGCTGTGGCATCATGATGAGATGCCAAATAAAAACATATTAAAAAAAAAACAGTATGCATAGCAGAAAAAAATCCCCCGTGGCTACTCTGCCAGCTGCTTCAATAAATACCAGTATTAGCTACACAAGGAGAACATACTTGTTAAAAAAAGTGAATAAACGTTGCTTTTGATAATATTTGTAGCCCTCAGGCTTACAGTTTACATGATATCATCTCTTTTAGCAGATTTCATAGAATCCCTATAGCGTGGAAGCAAGCCATTTTGGCCCAGCAAGTCCACACCGAGCCTCTGAAGAGCATCCCACCCAGACAGCCACCCCCACACATTACCCTAGCCCTCTACCCCTGCATTTCTCACGACTAATCCACCTAGCCTGCACATCCCTGGATACTACGAACAATTTATCATGGCCAATCCACCTAAGCTGAACATCTTTGGACAGTGGGAGGAACCCACACAGACACAGGGAGAATGTGCAAACTCCACACGGACAGCGTCCAAGGTTGGATTCGAACTCGGGACCCTGGTGCTGTGAGGCAGCAGTGCTAACCGCTGAGCCACCGTGCTGCCATTTGTAAGACAAACACAAGTATTTAAGAAGCAATTGATTTTCATATTTTAGTTTTTGTGAATGAGATTTTCTGTTCCTACTCCACACAGGTAATCTGGGGAAAAATTGTTAAGGAAATTCTTCTAAGGTGCGGTGTTTGTGAAGTGATTCATGAGTTGGCTTGCCCTGCCCTTCCAGATGTTAGGGATGGCAGGAATGGGGATTGGTTGAGAAAAATACAAGGGCCAATAAGTGAGGCAGCAAGGAGCAAGGGGAAGTGGGAAGAATAGATGTTGTTCCTCAATTTACTCAAAAAAAAAGTTGATTAGCCACTGACCATCTGACATGTCTTTTAGGACCAAGTTCTCTAGCTCCATCCATTCTGTGTTCAGTCGTTTCATCAATTTAAAAGCATTCACTGGGTGCCCTAGGAACTCCTCTGGATCTTTTGTCGCTGCCTCGGTAAGTTGATCCAATTTTTCTGCCCACCTAGTATGATTGAGAAGAAATTAATATTAAAAACTAATTAAACCTTTACTGTTATTATATATTAACGCAGATCACAATTGTGCAGTGCACAAACAGGTCAGCCACATGAAGGGACAAAGAAAAAAGTAACACACGGAAAGAGTGGAAGTTAATTGCTATTAATTCAAGAAACTCGGTTACCGTTTGATTTCACCCAGTTTGCTCTCCTCTGCTTTGATGTAATCTTTCAATGAAGTCAGCAGATCTTTCTCAGTGTACAGCAAGTCAGTCATCTGGCCTGCCCAACAACAGCAAAACAGATTTTTGCAAGATGCTTTTCATAAAAGAGCAATTTCATTAACAAGAAAGTTAACACAATTTTCTAAGAAATTTAAAAATATCCTTTGATATTTAAAAAAAGCTAAGTTATATGCTAAAACATTTGTATCAAATCATTTTAGAAATTAGTTACATTGAATTAATGTATTTTTGAAAGGCACAAAAAGTACATTCATAAACCAGAACAGTAGGAGGAGGGACTGACTGCATACATGTTCAACCTACCATACCCTACCAGGTTGCCTGCCAAAGCACTGCTGCTCCCATTTACAAACAGAGGGGTTTGCTTTTGATTTGTTTCTAATTTTCACATGGCTTCTCACCCTACCAAACCTAAAATTATTTTTCATTTGGAACAAACATGTGGAATATTATCATGGTGTCCCTGTTCATAATCAAGCAATGCTTTGGAGTTTTCGTACACCTCTGTTTTGAGGTTAACGTGAACATACAAAGACCTACATGATTCACCTTCTATTATCCCAGTCATTGTATGAGGCAATGGTAAGTAGTTTAATTGTGCACTCAATAAGTTTACTACTCATGGGAGATGAAGAAAACTTCTAGAGGAATAAAGCTTTAAAGCCATGGTCATAACGGGCTCAGTGCATTACTGTTACATTTATGATGGTCACCCAACAAAGCCTAGAAATTAATATTTGGCCTTTAAATCAACAAATTTTCAAAGAAATGGGAATGGTGTGGCAGATGTTTCCATCTGATACAACTTGCTCGGTGAATAATTTCTGGAATTTGACAATTCTGTAAATGCAAATTTTGCTTGGCCTGAGATCAACAGAATAATAATGGCATCGTAAGAGTGGGAATGCCGCAAGGTGGGGATCCAGTAATGCTGCTCCCATCACACATCAGGCTGGTGTCAACACTTGAAGCGTATGCAATCCCACGTTGTGTAATTACAGATATACAATTCGTTCCCTGGCTGCTTCCAATATCATGTTGTAACAGAAGGTATGCAAGATTTGATTCATAGGAATTCCCTTTCATTTGACAAGTCAATCCAGATGATATATGGGGTTACAGAATAACATTTATTTTTACAATAGTGAATTTATCTTGTCTTATTGCTAGGACAGACAAGTGCTTTGAATTCAGAGGTCTAGCTTTTCTCAGATCACACAGACTACTGTTTTGCTTTTGGACCAAGGATTCTCTCCTCTTGTGCATAGCTTAGAAAAACATTGGGACAGTAACATTAACATGCAGGTTCTTTAGATAAAGTATAAACGAAAGGTCAACGCATCAAGATTTCAGCCTGTTCCTGTTACCAATGACTTGAGTACAGGTATAATTAGTCAAACAATAATTCCTTTAAAAAAAAACTACTCAACCCAAACAGGAAAATGGCACCTACCAATAGATGTGAAGAAATCAGTATGAGCCTGAGTGAGAGAAACCAGGACTCCTAGTCCCAAAATGCACCAAATCTTTATAAATGCCATGACTTGCCAACTAGGCACTTTACAGGTGCTCTACAATAGATAAAATAAGCAAAATAGGAGAGGTAAGTGCTTAACCATTTCCAAGAAACTGAACAAATCAGAATAATGGTTAGCATGACTAAGTTACAAGTAAGGAGGTTATTTTTGTGCACAGTAGAATGATACTTTACAAATGCATTTCTCTTCATATTTTCAAGAGTATAACAATAAAGAGCATCAGTGACATCACTTATTTTAAAACAACTAGAAGTCATAGAATGGTACAAGATAAGGTCATCCTGCCCAGTTGGCTATCTAATTGGTCCCACATCCGCAATCTTTTGCCATAGCTCTACAAATTTCCCCTGTTCAAGTATTTATTGAATTTCCTTCAAAAAGTTGCTAATTAAACTGTTTTCACCACTGTTTTAGGCAGGTCATTTCAGATCATTCTACTTGTTACCTTTGACAATGTTTGCAATCATGACTCTCCAACTTTCACGGCCCCTGACAGCAACCAACACTTTGGTTTTGTTCCCAAATCTAATAACCGTTCTGTTTTCTTAAACTGAGAGTGTAATTCTTCCTTTCTCTTCTTCTGCTACCCTCAGCTTTATCAGTCAATACCAGATGTTCTGGTTTCTTTCTCAGAAGTATGTGCCCAAAGAATTATAGCAGTATTTTGGTGATCATCTGCAAAAACTCTTCTTGTGTGTCTGTCTTCTTTCATTAGTTTTGTACGTTGACCAACTCATCCTGATCGTAAATTTCAGAGACCACATCTCTATTGCTTTTAGTTAACAATTACACAAATGTTTTGTTCCTCATGTTGCCCCTTCATTCTTTTTCCAATTTCTTAAAATCATACAAATGTTTCTCAAAATGAGAGTCAGGATATTGGTTTGATTCAAGTTATGACATTCTCCCCTTGGAGCCAGTGAACATGTTACTTGAACATGTTAGTAATCCCTGTATTAAAATAAGGAGACAGGTAAAGGAAAAAGATTATTAATTGAAATTTTGGATCAACAGACTTCAGAACAGTCTGATTAACCTGTTTTCCACAAAATTCCACAGTTCGTAATTCAAGCTCACAACTTGTAAAGTTTGCTGCATTACTGGTGTTCCAGACTGTGTCCAAATGTTAAATCGAGGTCATCTCTGGTCATTTTGAGTGGATGTTAAAGAGCCCGTTAACTTGGGAAAGAATAAAGCAGGAAGCTCTATTAATCTATTTAGAGATGGAAACTGATGCACTTTGGTACAGCCAGTATAAAACGGGCTATTTTAGAGGGCGTGTAGTGGTAGACAGACCTGGGTATGTATGTACATAAATCATTAAAAAGGCAAGAGGTCAGGTAAAGAAAACTGTTAATAAAGATATAGTACTTGTAGCTTCATAAATAGGGCCAGAGTGTACAAGAACAGGGAAGTTATGATGAATGTATATAAGACAGTGGTCTGACTTCAGCTGGAGCTCTGTATACAATTCTGGGCACCACAGTATAGGAAGGATGTGAATGCCCTAGAGAGTGCAGGAGAGATTTACGAGAATGGCTTCAAGGGTGAGACACTTCTGTTATGAGGAAGTTTTTTGGAGAAGTTGGAACTGTTTTCATTCGAGTGAAGGCTAAGAGGAGATTTCTAAGAGGAGATTTGATAGAAGTTTTCAAAATCATGGAGGGTCTGGACAGATTGGATAGAGAGGTAGTGATGCAGTGGTAAATTCACTGAACTATTAATCTGGAACCTCAAGCTCATGTACTGGGTACACGGGTGTGAATCCCACCATGTAAAATGGTGAAATTTGAATTCAATAAGAAAGAATCTGGAGTTTAACAAAAATCTAGACTAATGGCAATGATGTAACCATTGTCATTTGTTGTAAAAACCCATCTGGTTCACTAATGTTCTGTAGGGAAAAAAAACTGCCATCCTTACCTGGTCTGGGCTACATATGACTCCAGACCCACAGCAATATGCTTGATTCTTAACTCTCCTCTCGACAATTAGGAGTGGGCAATAAATGCTGGTTTAGCCAGGGATGCCCTCATCCCATGAATTATAAAACAAAACTGTTCCCACCTGTGAACAGATTAAGAACCAAAGGCGACAGCTTTAAATTGATTTGCAAAAGAAGCAAAGGTGAGATGAGAAAAAAAATGTTCTTCACACACAGCCTGTAAAGTGTGGTGGAAGCATGTTCAATTGTGCCATTCAAGAAAGCATTGGATGATTATTTAAATAGAAACAATATGCAAAATTACTGTCGTCTGCACCATTACAATCTTGTGATTCCGTGAAAGTGGTCTTGCAATTTATTGCTGTTTGTGGGATCATGCTGTGCACAAGAGGTTGACTTCTCATAGTTCCTTCGATTTTCTTCATCAAGATCAAATTGCTGACAGTCACAAAATGATGGAAGATCTTCAGAGATAGTAGGAACTGCAGATGCTGGAGAATCTGAGATAACAAGGTGTAGAGCTGGATGAACACAGCAGGCCAAGCAGCATCAGAGAAGCAGGAAGGCTGACGTTTCGGGCCTAGACCAGATTTCACATTCAGATAGAAAGTAGTTAGGAACCCTGGTTCTTATCTTTATCGGATTTCACTAATACTTCACTAGCATCTTACAGCGGGCCCTACCTTTGTCACTTGTTGACTGAGAGTGAGACCTGCTTTTCCCTGTAAGCTTCTACAACAATTGCCCATATCTACGAAACCATTTTTGTGATGCAAACAACTTAAATCATAGGGATTTTCCAAATTTGTGGGCCTTAATACACACCTCTTTGATCTCTTTAAAGCTTGTTAGTAGACGTATCTCTCAAAATTATATTTTCCCAACAAACAAATCACAACTGCCTTTGACCTTTGGATTCCAATAAATCACATGATAAGCCCTTTTCAAACCAGTAATATCCAAATAGATCTATATTCCAGTTTCTCATAGTCCCTAACTGTATTTGTAACACAATACACAGTTTCAATCTATTTCCCAAAAGTATTCTTTTATAGATACTCAATTCCAGAGAAATATCAGTCCTATCTCAGTTTCTAAATCTTTACTTAACCGACCCCTCCCAGTTTTCTTTACTTGTGTAGCTCAGATACATTTTTACAATTCCTTCATGAATCAGACTCCCTCAGACTTCCTGAGTCCGATGGCATAAATCTTTTTCAATCCTGGTTTAAGCTCGCTCAGATCTAACAATTTTAGGACTTTTATGCAAGTTCTCATGACTTAGTAGGTCCAAAGACTAGAAAGCACTTGAGTTGACTGGTTCCCGAGGTGATTCAATTCTTCTGCTCCGAAGCCAAAACAAATGTCCTTACCTGTTTACCGTACCTGTCATGAATCCAGCAAAGGTTAAAATGACTGCACTGCTCTATCAGTCATTTATAAGTGCAGAATGTGAAGTTACTTGCTAACACATTTAGTGAGGAAAAATTACATGGATAGTTTAACTACCTGAATACATGATGACTGAATGAATTGTGTACAAAAGCTGTGGTCCACTGCAGCTGCTCCTTTCTTTACAGCCTAATCGGACCTGTGTTTCAGAAAGTGCATTCATGCAACAAGTGTTGTATCATGCATTATTCTGTGCACATGAACGCCTGTTGTAACACACCCCTCCTGCTTGTAAATCCGTCTGCTAGCATGTAGAAACCATGCTAGAAAGATTGCAGTCATATTTATTTAATGCTTCGTTACATCTCTCTCAAGTCTTGTTTTAGATACATACTTCTATGCAGGCAGTTGTGGCTGGTAATCTTCTGCACAGTATGATCCCACAGACAGCAATAAATTGCAAGACCGGCTTCACAGAATAGTAATGATGCAGATGACAATAATTTTGTATATTGCTTCTATTTAAATAATCATTCGATGCCTTCATGATGGCTCAATTGAACCTGCCTCCACCACAGTCTTCAGGTCGTGTATTCCATATCCTAAATCTTACTAAACGTGAAGAAAATTTTTATCACCTCACCTTTGCTTCTTTTCCCAAACATATGCATTTTGACATGTGCAGATCTTTTAAGGTGTCAAAATCTTACCACTGAGATAGTCATTGGCTTTGCAACAAAAGAAGATTGAATTATGAATTAGAAACCAAACTGAACCATCACAGCCCATCAAACTGGTCTCAAAGTTCAAAAACATTCTACATCATCTCATTGTTTATTTTTGCCCTCTTCTTTGGCCAAAGATCTATCCTATTCCTTCTTGACTGCGCTAAGATGGCCCAATTCCATACTTTCTTTGGGCGACGTGCTCCTCATATTCCTCAATGTTCGCAACTAAACTCTCCATTATCTTCTCTCTTCTGCAACTGAAATAATCAGTAATTATGTCAAAAAATTTGGCAGGCTTTATTTGTCTAAATCAGATACAATGCCTTTAGCATCATTACTTCCATGGGCCCACTCATCCATTTGGACTTTTTTTGAAATTCACACCTTGGAAGGGAATGATAATGAGGTAGCAGTAAAATATTTCAAAAATGAAACTCTCAAACTGTCATTTTCTGAGAATTCTGATGTAGAGGATGTACAGAACACAAATCTATTACAGAAATTTGCCAACAGTAAGGTGTTCATCTGATGTTCTTCGTTATTATTTTAATACAGGAGTTAAGTCATTCATTTTAAATGATACATTACCATTGACAACAGCAGTTACTAGGCTATTAGTCTTCTTGAGTCAAGAGTGATTTGACTTATATCAGCAATTACATGGCCCATTAAGTCATTGAGTGTTAGCAAAGTCATGATCGATCTTAGCACCTACAGAAATTGTGGTTTCTCAGTTAACAAACTGCATTTGTATTACACCTTTAATGTTGGAACTGTCCCAAGTCATTTCCCATTTGAGAAAGCAGACAGAATGGAGGAAAGAGTGAACTATTTGGAAAAGCTAAGACCTGAACAATTAGGAGGAAAACTGCAGAACGCAAGGACATGACGACAAGGGAGACCACTACCAATATGTACGTGAATGAGTGTGTCGGGGGGAGGATGGAGGCAGGAAGGAAACACACACAACAAGCTGGAAGATCAGAATGCGCAAGATGGGATATATACAGCTGGAGATAGGGATAAGTTATAGAAGTGGTGAACGCATTTTAATAAAAAGGGAAGCAAAACAGCCCATTAACTGTTTCAACAGAATGCTTCTCTGCAGAGTCTGCTCAACTGCTGAATGTTTCCAGCACTTCTGCCAGTTATGGTTCAGTCCAAATCTCAGTGTCAGGATTTGAACACAGAAGCAAAAGTTAAGCATTGCAGTACTGCGGGGTATCTGAGCATTGTTGGAGGAACCAACTTTCGGATGAGACGTTAAATTACATCAGGCCTCTCAAGCGAGTGTAAAAGATTCCACAGCACTAGCTCAAAGTACGGCAGAGGAGTTCTCCCTGATGTCCTGGCCAGTATTTAATCACTCAACCAAGTGAACTAAAAGAGAAGCAGATATTCAGTCATTGCCACATTTCTGCTTTTGGGAGCTTCTGTGAGGAAACTTACTGCCATATTTCCTAGATTACAACAGCCACTGCACTTCAAAAATATTTAGTTGGCTGGAAAAGTGCTGTGTCATCCACCATTTGGGAATAGTGCTTTATTAATGCGTCACTTTCTTTTCCTGTTCTTTGTTTTGCTAGTTTCCAGCATCTGCAGTATTTTGTTTTTATAGACTATTAACATTGTGAAGCAAACTACTCTAAAATCCAGTCAGATCTGCTAAGCATTTATTTCAGATCTTCAGCTTTGTAACATTTTTTTTATCATATAACAGAGTGCTGTCTTTTTGACATTCTACTAATACAGTATTGAACAGCTTTTAATCTCAGTGGAATGCAGGACACAACTAATTCCAATGTTAGCATTACCAGTATGACGGAAATGAAATCAAAGCAGCAGTAGGCTACATGCAAAGAAATAAATTGGTCTTTTTTCTCTTTCTCGAATCAATCACATGATACAAATTAAGTTCTAAACAGTTTGGCTCTGTTTCATTTAATAGTGCAGTGGTGACACACTCTCTGTCGGTACCCTTAAGTCTTCACCTATTCAATTATTCTGCATGGTGCAACAGAAGAGAATTGATCTAGAAAACATGCCACTCATCCCTTGGGATCTCTTCAGCACAAGGCCACCCCTTTATTTTGTATCCTTCAATGTTCATTTGTTCAGTCTCAAATTAGCAATGAACACATGGGTAAAGAGATGGGACAAAAACAAAGATGCTGGAAAAGCTCAGCAGGTCTGGCCATATCTGTGGAGGAGAAAACAGAGTTAACGTTTCGGGTCCGGTGACCATTCCTCAGAACTGTTCTGAGGAAGGGTCACCGG